CACTGATGATAACTACCGCAATTTAGTGAGCGAGTCACCTCACCTGCAGGCCCTTCGTGAAGACCTCCACATGATTTTCTTGCCGCTAAATGACTGCTCTTCTTTGCTTCACTTGGGAGAAGTGCCACCATATATAAAGGAAGAATTAAGATTTGTGGTGGAAGAGTTGGGGAATTTAGCAAAGCCTTTCCTTACAGGTGAACAACAAAGGGTCGCTTTGAAATGTCTGGAACATTTTTGCAGTAACAGATCATCAAATGAACATGGTCAAAGAGGGGTGGAAGGGCTTGGTGTGCGAATTAAAGCCATTGTTCCTTACGTAAACAGCTTACAGTTTATATCCATGGAAGATTGCGATTATAGCAAGTGCAAAAAATTTTCGTTTAATTTGAAAGAATCGATTATGTTTAACAACCTCGGGAATCTCAAGTTTCTCGGAGAACTACTGGAGTATCTAGAAGGTGTGGCGCTCGGTGTCAGAGTCTTCAAAGAACAACCGGCAGAACTGCCTGTTAAATCGATCGAGCTGATCAACGACAGTGATAGCGATGAAGTGATTTTAATGAAAGTGCTCCATGAAGTGCGTCTATATATCCATCTTATTCTGAACGAAAACCTATCCAGTGAAGATAATGAACGAGTTGAGAGGAACATAAAGCGACTGCGCCAGCTTTATGTGAAAGGAGGGAAGGAGATCGAGTCCGAAGAGGAAAAGATTAAAACCTTTTGTCATCGCTTCATATTGGACCTCCAGAGAATTAAGGATGAAATACCTCCACATCTAATTAAGCAGGGCTTTGGCACACAGTTAGAGGATTTATACCTAAACCAGCTTTGTCAAATGATCCTTGTTAAGAACCCTGGTTCAGGGGGTTCAGTAGTATAGTTGGCTGTAGAAGACCACTTTGAAAAGAGATCTCATGCAAATGCCAACTCTCTTAACTACTTCCCATATGATGGAATCATTTAATGGAATTATTTAATGGAATGTTTTTTCATTGCGTGACATTCTCAGAAAAAGAGGAAATCAATGATGTAATACAACAGAGACTTTCCCGAGGAAATGAGTCATAGCATTGCTGTTGTTTTGATGTCATATGATAGATTTTCAACCAGTCAAAGACTTCACAATTTCACTTCACAATCGTGGAATTTTTCAGTAGAGATGGAGATGCCTTCATCACTTAAATAACTGGATCAATGCTATAACAATGTCTGTGTTTACATTTGGATTTTGTGATGACCATAAGTGCAAGATGTTATACCATCTTATGAATGTATTGCTTACCATCAAAGCTGCTGAGTGATACTTTATTGAGTTCATAGCTTCCAGGTTGATGATTGTAGCTTCTGGTGGTTTTCATTTTATGATGTAATTGTTTGTTATTGAATAATATTTTTTAATAGCCTTAATGTTTGATGTTCTTTTTTGTAACATTTTTCTATATTCCTTTTGCTGTTCAGTCACTTTTTTCTTTGTCTTTTATGTAAGAGTACATTTTTGATCTTAAACTGACAAAGTCAATTATTGGTATACCAGAAGCCTCATCTTTGAATTTTTCAATTACTTTTTGTTTGTTATATTAAAATAAGGAGAATTTTCTAGATAATCACTATTGTCAAATTTGTCTTTATTATTCCAAAAGTCTCTATACACATCTTCAGTTCCAATTTCATGTTAGACTGTCTGTGTCTGTAAAAAGTAATCTTGCTTTGTTGTTATACTTATTTTTAATATAATTATCATGGAAATCATACATTAGTGTTTTACTAAGATTAAGAATACACATCTCTATATATGCCTGTATTTTCAGAGTGATTGTGATTGATTCTTTACTCTAATGAACAGCTATAAGATGCTCATTAAAAATTTATCATGATACATGAGTTGGTTTCAAGCTATATTTAATAAATTTTTTTCATCAGTTTCAAGTTTAATGGTAACTCTTTTGCAAATATTCTCCATAGTTCTGCCAAATATGCTGTTAGTCATAAGCTTGAAGAAGTCTTTTTCAAATAAATTTTCAGCATTAGTTCTTTTGTTTGTGTTAAAATTTATGTACTGTTTCAGCCACACTGACTGATTGAATTGTAATACTCAATGAATCTTTTTTAATTTTAATCCCAAATCAAGATATAATTGTAGGTTTCTGTAATGGAGTATGCACTTTTTTTTGTCATTTAATGTTAATACCAGCTTTTCAACTTCACCTATTGTTATGTTGTAATAATGTAATTTCTTCACATTAATTTAAAGTGTATCTTTTGTTACATTTATTTTCTCAGCACCAAGTGGGTAGTCATTATATATTATGCAATTTCTGTGGGTACTTCAAGACTGACTTCTAATATTAAATCTTTTTTACTGTCTTATGTGTATTTGCCTGTCTTTTCCATTTCTTTTTCTATCATCCATTTAAAACCATCAGTAGGTAGATATTGGCTATATATGAAATACCACCTCTCATTTCTTTTTCAAGAAACTGAAACATATCTATGCCTGTCATCAAATTCTAATTTTATCTGCCATTTTTAACATAGCATCCCAAGATAGCCCAAGACTTGTAAAATACATGGCATGGTTCAAGTTTATAGTATTTCAGACAAGTCTTCCTGAAATTGTCAAATACATCAGCAAGTAGAAAAATGTGACTTCAAATATAAATTATGATAATCTCCCATCAAACATTTATTGCATGTTTGTATTGGTTGTCATCATTTAGGATATGGTAAAATTAATCTTTTGTAGGTGATTGTTTAACATTGAATTTATCAAAAGTGTTCATATAGTCATTTGGATAAACTACTTTTTGTTTCATGAGCTTGAATTGCTCATTTTGAAAGACTTGATGTATATCTGAATACTTTATCAGGGAGATCACTAGCTAGTTTATCAAGACTGGAGCTCATGAATTGAAAACTATCAAGGAACACAACATGCTTCCCTAACATGAAAACAATGTATTTTACCATGTTGGTTGATATTACATTTATGTCCATCTGTTTTTCTTCAACTTTTTGTTTTTGTAGGTTTGCTTTTTAGCTATTTTACCTATCTCTTGCATCATGAAGTGATTGTTATATCCTTGTAAATTATGGAAGATAATAAGTATCTTAATTTCTTCAGCCTTTAACCTGAAGTGGTTGATATTACAATCTTGATGAGCCAACCCTCTGTATTTTCCAGTTATGTGACAATGGTCTCTCACCCTAATATCTTAATCAACCTTGCCAACCAAATCTTTAACAAGTAAGTGCACCATAAAAATAAGTTTGTAAAAAAAAGGTTTTTGGGTTTACATGATTGAGGCAGGTTTCACCTGAATTTGAATGAAATTTGAAGAGGTCTAAAGAAGGGATAGAAGAAAGAAAATGAGTTTTGGAACACCAACAGACAGTTGGTACCCACGCAAGAGCAACCAAAGTTGCTGGTGGACTAACTTGGAGTACATCTATTAATTACTAACTACAAATTCTAATTTTTAAATTCACTAATTCTTCAAACTCTCCTATTTCCCTAAATTTTTTCAATCTTTCAAGAGAAAATCTATTTCCTCCAAACAAATCCAAAAATCAACCAAAATTTACAAAACACTTGATAACATACATTTATGTTTTGATGATAGGGTTTTTTATTACTTGAAATGTGAACGAGATACTTCCATTAAACCCAAGTTAGGTGGCAGAAAAATGGCATTCAGGTATAATGCCCCCTTAAGTATATTTAGCCAAGCTCCCTCATCTTGCATTTTATTCTTTCAGTTCAAGGATACATTCACCTGCTCAGCCCCGTAAAGACTGCCAGCAACACAACCACAAACTACTTTGATTGTCACATGCAAACAGATGAAAATAGCATTGTTCACCTTTTGAGCTACAGTCCTCAAAAGAGAACTAAACTCCAACAAGTATATGAAAGGAAATCTTCTGTTAGAATAACTGATACAAAACCAATTGCCACCAAAAGATTTAGCACTGAAAGAGAGGGATATAGCATTCCAAAGATTGCAAAAATAACACCCACCACAGTAGATTTTCCTTTAATTGAAACTTGTGACAACCATCTGCACACTGTAAAGGATGCTTAAAAAGCAAATGTGTACATAAGAATAGATTTGAATGTAAAAGTAATAACTTAAGATGAACACTAACAACCAATTGTGGAAAATAGCAAAATAAGTTACAAAGTAGACTTTTGTAGCATCTAAAACACAAGTAATGAAACTTGGGATCTGGGAAAAAAAACAATGAGCAAGTCTGAACTGGCAAGAGCTATCTGTTCAAGAATCTCACAGTTCACACATTTGACAATGTTATGTCAGTACAAACAAAGCAACAACAATAACAGAAATTGATGACATTCAAAACAAAAATTGGAAATGTAAAATTAGAAATGTAAAATTAGATCATAACATTGTTAAAGGACTGTATTGGAATTGAAGTAAAAAAGAAGAAATGTTGCATCATATGCAACAAAATTCTACTTATAGAGCAAGACAAAGGATACATGACTTGTACTAATAAACAATGCAATATGACTACATTAACATTCATGTTAAAAGCTGAATTGGTCCGCCAAGTCGTTGTTAGGACAGAAAATAACACAATTTTTAACTACACATGTTTTAATGATGGTATCAACAGCTTCCTGAGAAAAATTGACAAGGACCTGTCAGTTTCCAATATGCCAAAAAATGAACTAAAAAAACTTGTATCAAAATCTGGATAACAAACCATGATAGTTAATAAAACTGCAAAGATATCATCACAGATCCTTTAGTGCCATCACATGGCACATTTCAAATTTGTTCCTCATGTACAACAATGGATACATGTGTACAGCATTGTTTTTGCAACTAAGAAATTAATTTGCTGAGACTTGCTGTTGATGTTTGAGAAATGTGTTACTGTTTGAAATGCAATGTTCCAAATGCAATATTAGAGTTGCTATGTTTGAAATGCAATGTTCAAGTTGCTAAGTTTAAAATGTGCCAGATTTTAAAGTTATTAAGTTTAAAATACAATGTTGAAGTTGCTATGTTTGAAATGCAGTGTAAAGTTACATGTTTGAAATGCAATGTTAAAGTTGCTAAGTTTGAAATGCAATGTTTAAGTTGCTATCTTTGAAATGTAATTTAAAGTTGCTATGTTTCAAATTGGTTAGAAATTAACTATTAAAGTTACTGTTTGAATTAAGTATTAAAGTTACAAATCAACTTTCCTGAACAGTCGTGGAGTTGCTAGTGAGCTAACATAATATATTTATAACATTAATTGAATGATATCTGCTCCCCCTATACAAGAAACTAGTCTCTGATTAAAATTAGCCAACACAAGTCAATGAACTATAAATAATTCTGTAGATACATGTGGTCATAGACTGCCTTTTTTTTTCCAGGATAAGGGGTTGTTGCTTTGGTTACTGCAATCAATACTGTGATAAGTGGATCTAACTGAGGGGACTTACAGGTGTTTGATTACAGCCAACTGTCCAATTACACAATCCAATTACATTACTGTGCAGAATGATAAGTGAAGAATAAGGTAGCTAATGTACCAATCACATTTCAGGAAATGGTATAGGTTATGATTAACATGTAAACAGCATCAGAAAAACAAAACTACAAATGATCTGATAAGCTAAAGTCTTGCATCTGATTTGTCAAGATGGTGGCCAGAGCAAAAGACATTCAAATGAATGTCATCCAGAGTAATTTTAACAATCAACAATTCAAAGCAAATATATGTATTCCATTGATCAGGTTCAAATTGATCTTTATTTAGTATTTGATCCCTTTGTGAAGGTACAGGGTTTAAAAAAAATAACAAAGAAGACAGAAACATTCTAAGAAGTATCAATAACAGGTTCCAGAATCTACTTAAGATGTAAATGGTGAGAGGCACTGTTTAGGTGTCTGATCTCAAAATACTTTGACCAGGGCTATAGTCAAACTCAGTTAGACTGTAATGCAGCACACTAACTTTTAAAAGAAGCGGTAAATAAAAATAACTACGCAGCTGGACGACAACTATTTGATAAACCATGCACACCTTGACTTAAAAGACATATATCGCTAACACAAGTTAGGAGATGAACACATCTGGGTTCAGTGCTGTCGTCAAACAAATCTATCAGTATGAAGAAGTTAAATGTATTGAAATGCACTTGTTAAGTTCTGAGGTGGTACTATTGAAATTACAAAAGTTGGACATAATCTCGCCTTGTTTCAGGCCTGCAGTAGAAAAAAAAAGGAATCGAAACAAGAATGAGAGCCCACCATCTGTACCGGGGTTCTTCCTAGTCTTCCCATTTGCACTATTGTGGAATATTCCTTGCCCGTTTCTTAATACATTTTTCTTTTAACAAAACGGCCATTGTATTCCATTTTTGACAAAGCGGCCACAATCGTTTTTAATATAATCTCAAGCCTTTATGTTGTCCTCATCTTAGTGCTGATTAATTCAATAAATTACCAGGAAAGTAAACAACGAGCCAGTCACGAAAATAACGCTTCGCTTTTCCCAATAAATATTTGCTAGTTCCTCATGTACACTTAAAACAATATATGGCACACTGCACATGAAATAAACTATAACATTCTTTAATTTGGTCCAAAATCTTACATTAAGTTATTTCTTGCTTACCAAATTAAATCTCAATCTTAAAATGTAATTGCTGCTCTTTTGTAACATTTATTCATACTATACCCTGCCACGTCTGGTTTGAATATCCTGACTGCATTATTCCCCAGGACAAGTGCTGTGTAAGCAATCCAAACGGACTTGCTGTGTCAAACGTCAAGTAATCAGAAATATAATAAGAACTGTGAAAATGGCAACTATAACAACTACAACAACATTTTTTGCATTTTTGCTGGCAGGAGCCACAATATCAAACCGACCACATCAGAATTGCCTGTGGTTGAATGAACTTCAGAGAAACTGTAACAAGACTTGTTCAACTAGTATCATGTAATTTTTTTTCAAACTTAACTTCAGGCCGCTATGCTGCTGATTGCGAAGACAGTAGGCGACCTACAAGCAAAGATGGTCAGTCAGCACTTGTCCTCGATATCATATTGCGTGTTGCTATTTTCCAACTACTGACGGCTCGCGCGAACAGCGAGAAGTGAGAGGACTAGGAAAGCTTAAACTTGTATTTAAGAACGGTTACGGCCTGCATGCTTTGTTAAAAACAAAATAAAGGAGGGAATGGGCAAGGAATATTCCACAACAGTGCAAATGATCGTGAAAGATTATCGCGGAAGAGCGATTGTGTGACAAATGGTAAGATGGTAAGTGACATGTTATCACGTTTCAATCGAAAAAACAGTTTAAATCCTGTCTGCATTTTGTATTCAGTCTACAGTCTGCATTTTGTACCTAGTCTGCATTTTGTACCCGGTCTGCAATCTGCATTTTATACTGACCGTATCTAACAGGTCCCCATGCACATATATGTCGTTAATTTGAACTTCAATGGATGAACAATGAATGACA